TGTACAAGGAGATCCTAATGAAAAGTGTCAGTGTGCTGAGTTCCCACCGCTGCACCTCCAGCAACTGTCTCGAAAACAAGAGCACTGTATTTTCATCAATTCAGTAAATCACACAGATGGGAAACTAAACTGCTTCTTGCATCAGGAGAACACAGGAAGATTGATCACAGAATTAGGCTGGCCTCCCGCAGTGCCCTGGGCTGATCCGAGCCTTCTCGGGGCTGATCCAAAGGCTCAGGACGAGCGCCGACAGCAGCCCCCACTGACTACGGAGTCTCCTTTGTATGGCGGGTCCCACGGCACCGCCCACCTGACGGTGCTGGAGGAGGCAGCCCGTGCATCAATCAGCACCACGGTGGACAGCCGTGATTAGATTATAAAATCATGACTGTGGCCGTCGTGTGTCTGCTGGCATAATTACATCAGCATGCTAATGCCGTTTTAATGGTCTCTAATGATGTAATAAGAAATAATGGAATTTATTTGACAGCTACATAACCATTAAGAAAACATATTAAGTACAACTGGTACTTCCATAAAAACGTAGACAGTCTCTGAAAGCGCCAGCTTGCGTGGCGGCCCCTCTTCCTCTCCTGGAACAAGGAACAGCCGTGGCCACACAGCAGCCCCCTTCCAAGGCCTCCACTGTGCTGGGTCAGGTATGCACCCCTCGGGAGGAGCGAAGTTCACAGCACTCACACAGTAAGTAAAGATCCAGAGGTGTGGCACAGACGTGAGCCAGCCAGATGGGGGGCTGCAGAGAAGGCTCTGGCACCAGGAGGCCCAGCTTGAGATTTGAAACATGAACCCTATAAAGAGCAGGGAAGACTGGGCATCTCCAGCCATAGGGAAGGACCCACTTGACGGCCACGGACCGGATTCCCAAGGGCGTAAAGAGAAGGTGGTGGTGGTGTCAGATGTGGCTCATAGGACACAGGAAGCCCACCCCCCAGTTTTCCCAGCAAGGAAGAGACTGTAGCAAAAGACATTTACAAAGGATTTGATCTGGCCACCAGCTTGGCCAGAAGGTGCTCCCTGGAAACGCCTCCGTGACCCCAGCCTCGTCCAATACGAAAGGGCTTTGTGTGGGAAGGTCTGAGACCTGAAGTCAGGAGCAGACCCCAGGTACAGGCCTGGGACAGAGGGACTGCAGCCAGCTTCCAGCAGGTGTCTGCACAGGACACCCCCCAT